CGCTTGGCTCTCCGGCCCTCCTTGGCTGGCCCACTGGACTCTGCTTCAGGTCAGCTCTCTCCAAAATGCCAATCCAAGGTTGGCATCTTTCTTTCTTTTCCTGCCCACTTTTCCCTGACCTGGTCATGACATCCTGTCCTGTGTCCGGGTCACATCAGGCCTACAGTGTTTTCTGAAGCAGCAGCTCTTCCCACAACCCCATGCTAGACATGAAAACAGCAGACTTGCCCTGAGACCCTCCTGGGCATAAGGCTACAACGTACATACCCTGTGTGGGTGGAGGGGCAGTGCGCAGAAGTCAAAGGCATGCTCCCTCGGCATGAGCAGCATCTTGCCTGCAGAGCTAAGCCTGGCGCACAGGGGAAGATGATGGATAGTTCATGCTAAATGCCAAGTGAGTAGTTCAGAGGCAACAAAGACCACATGGAGTCAGAAGTGGGTTCAAATCCTGCCTTGGCCACTCATGAGCTGTGTGGCAAACAAGCTGTGTGGCCCTAAAGCTGTCTGGGCCTCTGCTTCTCCACCTGAGAGCCAGGACAGTAGCAACCACTTTGCAGGATGATTTTAAGCATTAGAGGTGATGGAGGTGAAGGAGCCTGGCACATGGTCACCGTGATTACAGGTGTCACCGTGGTCAGTGGCGTTGGCACAAGGTGGGCCCAGGAGCTCGTCTCATTGGTCAGCAGAGCTGGTCATGGGTGAGTCCGCTGGTCTGGGCATTCACCTGTGAACGCAGGGACCCCGAGGCACCTGGCCTCTAGACCTAAAGGACTGAGCTGCCTTTCAAGCGTGGGAGTATCTGGGAGATGGGGGGAGCCCAGGAAAAGGTCAGGGAGCACTCCCACAGTACTAGCCTGGACAGATGCTCTGCACACAGCTCCTGGGGTATTCTCGAGATGGGCCCAGGGACCCTTTGGTGTCCTACAGGTGGCCCTCTCGGATGTTGGGGGGGTGACCTGCCTGAGAGGGAAGCCAGTCCAGCTGCAGGGCTGGGAGGCTGAACCCCCTTCTCCGCTGAACTCGGGAAACTCTACCTCATTCCCACCGGCTGATACTCCAGTCTGGAAAAGTTAGAGCAAATGACAAAACCAACACTCGGGGAATTCCAGATGTGAACCCACCGTCGCAAAAGCACATAGCAGAGAGCCCTTTGGGACCTAGCAAATGGTTTTTGTGTTGCTGTTACTGTTTATCCCGTGCCGGCGCTTACAAAGGCTGGCGTGAAGGGGGGGGGCTCTGCGGCGGTCGACAACACATTGCTCTTTCAACCTGTGGCCGCGGCCACATCACAGAGGAATGGGTTCTGAAGGAGGCCAGCAGGCAGGACTACACGGCATGCAGGGCACCCACATCAGGTCAGGAAGCAGCAGGACCAGCACCCCTGAAGCCCCCTCGTGCTGCTCTCAGCTATGACCCCTGCCCCAAGGGCACCCGAGCTCCCTCTGTGCGTCCCTTGTGTGTCTGGCTTCTTTCATCCTACGCTTTGTGCGAGAGCCATCGTATGGTGGTATGTGGCTATTTATTCATTGTTGCTGTAGTGTGGGATTTCCCAGCCTCGGCACTATTGGCATTTGGGGCCAGATAATTCTTCGTTGTTGGAGGTGAAGACTGTATTGTGCATTGTAGGATGGTTAGCAGTATCCCTGGCCTCCCCTCACCACGTGGAAAGTAGAACTCCTTCCCAAGTTGTGACAACTCAAAATGTCTCCGACATAGCCAGGTGTCCTCTGGGAGGCCAAAATTGCCCCTGATTGAGAACCGCTGCTAGGGAGTGTTCTATGGAATGAGTATGTCACAACTTTTTTATCCACCTATCATGGCCATTTGGATTGTATCCGGTACTTGGCTAGTAGGAATTGAGGTGCTGTGAGCATTCTCAGATGTGTCTTTGTTGGACATGGGCACTCATTTCTGTTGGGTGTCCAGGAGGGAACTGTTGGGTTACCAGGTAGGCATATGTTTAGCTTTAATAGATATTGCTAAGCAGTTTTCCACAGTGGCTGTTTATACTTCCCACCCAGTGCATCTGTGTTATGGCTGCTCCACATTCTCACCAATCGCACTGAGTTTTTACTTTGCATTTTTCAGACATTAAGCAACTTTAAATATGGATCTTGGCCACTCGGACATCCTCTTAATGAAGTGCCTCTTAAAGTCTCTTGCTCATCCTTCTATAGGATTGTCTGCCTTTTTTTCTTATTGATTTGTAGCAGCTCTTTATATATGATGGATAAGAGTCCTTTGCCAGATATATGTATTGTAAATATCTTCTCTCACTCTATGGACTCAGATTTTTAGAAATAGAGGCAGCCTGTGTTCCTCCAATCCAACCCCTTGGTGAGCTTGATTATTGTTATTTTTCAATTGTCCTTTTTGCAAAACAATAAATTTCATAAGGGCAAAGACTGTGAGTCTGCTTTGTTCACCGTAGAACTCCCAACTCAGGGCCTGGTGCAGAGTAGGTACAAAATAAGTATTTATAGAGTAAAAGAATGGGTGAATCTCCCATTGGGATGATTCTTGCAGCTTAAGGCTTCAAAGTGTTTGGGCAGTTGTTGATTCTCGGGGAACTCTTGGTAAAAAGTGAAGAGACAGGCACCCGCGTGCTTCTCTGTTCCCCCCTGCCCCCACCAATGTAACAGCCAGCTCCTGAGTCTGTCTGTCGTTCCTTTGCCAGCTGGAAGTCTGCCCACCTGCACCTGCCCTGAGGGAGGCGGGGGCCTCTCCTGGAGAAGTCACATTTTAATTAACTTCCCCTGCAGTCACCGGAGAGGCCAGATCATTTTCATAAACAAATGAGAAGCCAGAGCTTTGTCTGCAGCTCAGAGTGAGTCTTGCAGAAGGAATTCAAAGCAAACCACCCAGCAGAGGCTCTGTGCATTTGCCTGGAACCCAGAGCTCCATCCCTCTCAAGGGAGGTGGGGCCTGGATTTGAGATGGGAGAGAAGAGGGACAACAATGTGTAGAAGAGAACTGATAGGGTCTCCAAGGAGGCATTTCGTTCATTCATTCATTCATTCCTTCTGCCCCTATTTACCAGCACCTACTCTATGCTGGGCACAGGGAAAAAGAGGTGAGAATAAGGGGAAGCAGGGGGCAGAGGGGCAATCTCTACACTCCCTGCTCAATTTTGCTGTGAACATAAAACTGCTTTAAAAAACAAGGTCTATCTTTAAAAAAAAAAACTAAAAAAATTAACCTTAAAATAAATAAAGACTGAGAGCACATTCTACCAGGGGAGACAGACATTAAGCTGATCATCATGCAATTAATGACTTAATTAAACTGCTTTGTAATTTCCAGTGGCTTTACTGAGATATAATTCACATACCATACAATTCACGCAAATAAATTGTGCAAAGCCAGTGGCTTTTTGCATATTCACAGACTTGGACAACCATCACTATCACCAATTTTAGGACACCTCTCAGGACACCCCCACCCCAAGCATTCCATTCCCATCTCCCTCCCAGCATAAGCCACCACTAATCTACTTTCTGTCTCTATGGAATGGACTTGCTATTTGAGACATTTCATGTCAATGAACTCATGCAATACATCATCCTTGGTGACTGGCTCTTTCCCTGAGCGTCATATTGTCAAAGCCCTTCTGTGCCGCAGAGGTATTACTGTGTAATTTTGAAAGTGCTCTGTAAGTAGAGCTCAGGGCCCCCCGATGCCATATAACAGGGAAAGTTGTCTGGACTGAAGACAACCCAGGAGAGCTTCCCAGAGGAAGAGGTTTTTAATCTCAGGCATTTATTGAGCACCTGCAATGTGCGACCAGGAAAGGGAAGGCAATACACATCACGGTTCTGGCTGTGTGGGAATTTATAATCCCGGCAGGTTGGCTCGTGGGTATTTGTTTAGCTGGTGGATCTGAGTGTGGGCTGGAGACGGACAGCTTGGGTTCAAATCCCAGCTTGGCCACTTCCTCCTGTGTGGCCCTGAGCAAACCGTCTGACTTGTCTATGCCTCAGCTTCCTCATCTGAGAAATGGGGCTGGTGATGGTGTCTGCCTCACAGGGCGGTTGTGAGGACCCAGTGAGAGAAGCATAGGAAGGACTGAACATTGTATCTGGGACTCGGTCAGAATCCAACTAGGGCTCAATAAAGCAGAAAAGGAGATGTTCTAAGCACTGTACAGGATAGGACCTCTGACCTCAGGGAGCTGCTACTCTGAAGAGGGGCAGTATAATCTAATCTAATGACTAAGAGCCCTGGCTGGGGGCCAAACACACCAGCTTGTGAATCCCAGCCCATCCCTTAGGAGCCAGGGATCATGACTGTCTCTCTAGGCGTCCGCTTCCCTGTCTATAAAAAGTCGTGTGGTCGGTGATAGGGCAATTTTGTTCCTACAACCCCCTTCTCGGGGGCAAGGAGGAGTTCACCAGGGACCCAGAGAGTGAGGAAAGCTATCCAGCCACTGGGAAGGTGATAGTAGGCCTTGTCACCATAGCTCCACCTGCAGGTGAGGATTCAAGAGGCGTCGACATCCTCATTAGCTACGGTGACAGCAACACAAGCCATCTTTGGTGGGAATGAAGAGTCCGGTAGGAAAGATGCCTCCCCCCGCCTCAACAGGGGCCTCCAGGTGAATCTCTGAGCCGGGCCTTCCAGCATATCTGTGCGGGTGAGTCACATGCAGCTCCAGCCAGGCAGACCTAGGCTGGACCCCAGATGCAGCTCCTCGGGGCAGCGACTTGCCCCGCTACCTCCCGCTGGACAAACGAGCCTCCTCTTTCAAGACCTCAGGGGCCTTCCTGACTTGACTCTGCTCGCTTGTCCCTCAGCATGAGCACCCCCGGCTGACTTCTCCAGCGTGTGTCTCAGGGCCCCCCTCAGGGAGGGCTCTGTCATCCACACCCTCGTAGCCTTGCAGGTCACCCACAGGGCCTGGGGCCAAGCGAGCATCCGATGACTGCCGTGGCTGAGTCTGGTATAAGCGGTTGGTCTGGGATTCCACTCCTCACCTCTGCTTTCTGTCTTTCCCCAAACAGGCTGAACTCGGGAAGCCCCGAGAAAGAAGCTGCAGTCTGCCTGGGATTGATTTTAATTATGGACTCTACACCCGGGGGCTGGATGGAGGGGTCCCCGAAGGTGAGCAAGCAGACTCTGTAGCCCTAGGGGACTTGAGCTCTCAATCCAGGCTGGTCACTGGGCAGCTGGCCACGCTCTGCGGGAAGAGCCGAAGAGTCACGGGGTCTGCCCCACAGCATGATTCTGGTGGAAACCATAGTCAGGGCTTGGCCGAGATGGGGAGGTCCAGGCAGGGTCCAGGTCGAAGGTAGCAGGGAAATAGCAGGGCCCCAGCCGGTGTGGAACCTTGTCCCCAGGCAAGACTGTGTTCTGTGCGGTGTGAGCTTCGAGCATGGAGGGGGCTCAGGACCAACCCTCTGATGGCCCCGAGGAGGTAAAGGCCAGGTGAGCCCAGCTCCTCAAAGGATGCTCAGGCGCCCTCTGGAATCTCTGGGAATCCTGACCCCTCCCTTTCCAGCAGGCCACACAGGGCTGTCCCGCAGCAGGCTCCGGGTTAATGGGAAGGTGTGCATGCCCAGGTTCTTCTGAGTCAGGTACCACCAGTTGCTTTACCTCCCAGACTGACTGCTGCACCACGGTGCTGTCTCCCCCTGCCCCCAGCCATCGGACACTGGAATGTGTTTAAGCAGCAGCCCACCTGCCCCCACGAGCTGACCCGGAACTACATCGCCATGAACCGCGGGGCAGTGAAAGCCGGCCTGGTAACTGCTCGGGAGAATTTCCTCTACCGTCAGCTCAACGACATTCGTATCAGTGACCAGGATGACCGGCGTGTCAAGAGGGAACTGCCCCCTCTCCCACCAAATATGACGTTTGGGACCCCGGCACGGTAAGGTGGCTGGCACTCAAGGTTCTATCCCTCACCATGGGCAGGCGCTCAGAGGTGACTGAATTAGGGAACAATGTGGGGCATGACTTTTGACTCCAGGCAGGGGTGAGTGTTCCAGGCCTGGTCAGTCAGTGTATCTCACAAACCTTGGTCACGGTGATTGGTCCAGCAGCAGACATGTAACCCATGTCCCCGCTCTGGAAGGCATGGCATTCTACGAAAGCAGAATGTGGTTGCATGTAAGCCAATCTCAACTCAAACTGCCTTGATGTTTTTTTCTCCTAAGTGGAATTTACTGGCTTATACGATTGAAAAGCTCTGGGGTATAGAGCTTCAGGCATAGCTGGATCTAGGTAATCGAGGGATGTTATCAGTATTTGGTGTGTCTCTCTGTGTCTTGGTTGTGCTTCCCAGTCCTGGCTTCATTCTCCGACAAGCTTCTTCCTCATGCAGCAAAATGACCAGGAACAGTTCCATTCTCGGTGGGAAGGGCGCAGAAACTTCAACAGAGACTTGAGATTAAGATTCTTTGGTCCAACTTCAGAGCCTTGCCTCTCCCTGAACCAACCACTTCCAGTAGGGAGTGTGAAGTGCGCTGATGGGCCAGTCCTGGGTCACATGTCTGCCTCTGAACCAATTGCTGAGACCAGGAGATTCTGATGCTCTGATTGGCCAGGTCTGATCCCCTGCCCCCTCTGGGAGGGGGTGGGCGGTTGGAATCGGTCTCCACAATCCACAGAGGCAGGTGGCAGAGAAGATGCAGAGTTCGAGGTTCTGACCCCAGAAGGAGGAGGACAGAGCAGAACAGCAGACAGAAGCAGCAGATGTTCGATACAGCAAGCCTTCCTAACCCAAACCACGTCATAGTACAAACATCACAAAAATCACTGGTGTTTATGCCTCCTGCCGTACAAGTAAATAGAAGCACTCGAAGCTGGCAGAAAGTGGCCTGGAGCGTCCAGCTGCCCTAAGCCCCACCCAAATGCCGGAGACCCAGTATCTTGGTCCATCTGTGTGGACCAAGCCACCTTCCCATCCCCATCTCACTGGTCCTGGATAGGTGACTTCCTCAGGCTCCGCCACCATTCTTTCTTTCTTTCTTTCTTTTTGGTGGTTCCTTCTTTATTTTTAATTTTTCTTCTAATCATTTTTTATTGTGGTAGAATGTACTATTTTTAAATGTCCAGTTCAGTGGCATTAAGTAAATTCACATTGCTGTGAACCACTGCGACCATCTGTCTCCAGAACTTTCTCTTCATCCCAGACTGACACTCTGCCCCCACCCAGTAAATGGTATCTCTCTGTTCCTCCCTCCCCTCAGCTCTTGGTAGCCAGCACTCTGCTTTCTGTCTCTATGATTCTGAGACTGTAGATGCCTCATCTAAATGGAATCATTCAATATTTGCTCTTTTGTGTCTGGTTTATTTCATTTACCATAATGTCTTCGAGGTTCATCCATGTCCGTAGCAGGTGTCTGAATTTCCTTCCTTTTTAAGGTAGAATAATATCCCATTGTATGTATCCACCATGTTTTGTTTATCCGTTTATCCATTGATGGACATTTGGGTTATTTCCACCTTTTGGCTATTGTGAATAGTGCTTCTATGAACATGGGTGTGCAAATGCCTGTTTGAGCCCTGCTTTCAGTTCTTTTGGGGCATCTGCCCACGAGTGGAATTGCTGGATCATATGGGATTCTAGATTAAGTTTTTTTAGGAACTGCCAGAGTGTTTTCCACAGAGTCAGCCACCATACTTTTGTAGGCTTTTCCCCCTGCCCTTTCTCACAGCCCTACCTAGTAAAACCTACTTGTTCCCATAGTTCAGATCAGCATCAACTCTGCAGTAAGCTCTCCCATTTCCCGTGGACATCTCTCACCTGAAATGCATTTCTATTCATCAGCCCTCAAAACCTGGACTGTGACACTGGAGACACACTGGAAGGTCATTTCTGGACTGGATTAACTAATCGTCTGCACACCATCCTTCACCCACCTTTGAAGTAATGCCCCTAGTCAGTCCCTCCAGGGCAAGGCAAGGTTTCCCAAGACTGCCCGGAGTGCAGAGGGAGAGAGAGTCCCACTATGCACCAGATCACTAGATTAGTCCAGGCTGGTCGCCAGTGTCTCCAAGACAGCATGGTTTCTGGGAGCACCTCTGGCTAGGAGTGTCCCTGGGGTTCTAGTCCCAGCATGGTCCGCAGCTCTTTCCCTCCCAAGGCTTCCAGTTCCTCGTCTGTAAGCAGGCTGTTACGGCAGTAACTCGGTGTTCCAGGGTTCCCGGATTATGTTTGGTCTCTATTTCCTTGTCTTTAAAGCCCCGTGCAGGAGGTCTGCGCGGTTACTTGCCTGGCTTAGGCATGGAGAAATGAATTGACCTCCCCGAAATGGGTTCTCAACCTGATGTGCTTATATTTAAAAACAAAATTTTAGGGGCATCTGGGTGGTGCAGTCGGTTGTGTTTGACTCTTGGTTTCCGCTCAGGTGGTGATCCCAGGGCTGTGAGATCAAGCCCCCCATCAGGCCTCCCCTTATGCCCCTCCCCACCACTCTCTCTCTCTCTCTCTCTAAATAAATGAATCTTTAAGAAAAAACTTCAGGGGGCGCCTGAGTGGCTCAGTCGTTAAGCGTCTGCCTTCGGCTCAGGTCACGGTCCCAGGGTCCTGGGATCGAGCCCCGCATCGGGCTCCCTGCTC